CTGTGGAAGCGGCTGGAATATGCAACGCGCAGGTACCGTGGGAGCTGAATCACCAGGCACGAGAATAAGGCCTCGTCGCCGCTGGGCGCTGGAGGACAGGGAGGCAGACCGCTGGGCGACGCGCCCGGCCGCACAAGAAGGCTGAACCACCCCTGCAAGACACGGCGGCAAGCACCTGGGGTGGCCAGCTGACAACCAGAGCCAGGGAGGTGCAAGCACTGCCGGAACTGGCCAGAACGCGCGGGACCTGAACGCCAACTCGCTCGGCACCACGAAACAAAAAGAGCTGGGGGCCGGGCGGCGGGCGCCTCCGCCGCGGCCGAGGGGGGCGGGGCCCAGCGCCAGCGGCGGAGTAAGAGCCAGACACGGCCAAGCCGGGCGGTGTCTGGGGACCAGGGCCCAGGGGGTGCAAGCACAAGCTCCCGCGCTGGTCAAGGCGCGCGAGTCGGAGACGCCACGAAGGGCCAGCGCCATGGAAACCACGCCTGGCCGTGGCGGGATCCGGGCGAGGACCAAAGCGAAAACAGCGCAATGACGACCGAGGCCGCAAGGCACGTCGCGCTCCGCCCCAGTGGGGACAGCGCGCCCGGCATTGACGGCGACTGGGGGCCAGCTCCCCACAGGCGGGGAGGCCGAGCCAGGGGCCGAGGGGGGGCCAAGGCGGCCCTGGCCCGGCGACGATGAACTGGACCGCGCTGCAGCCAGGTGCTGAAGGCCGAGAGGGGCCGACGCCGATGGACCAGGTCAAACCATGACCAGGCCCAGGCAAAGGCCGGAGTGGAAACAACTACAGCGGCCATGGCCGATAAGCGCGCCGTACCCGCCCCAGCGGGTCCCGCGAGCCCCGCCTGGAGGGCGGTTCCTCAAGGGCGAGGGGCCCTGCCAGGTGCTGCGATAGCCATTGCCGAACGACGCTGGGCTACCAGTCGGGGCCAAGGGCCACTGCGACCAAGCGCGGCGAAAACCAGCGCGAGCATTGCAGTCGATCACGGGCGCGGCCCACGGCAACGCGCCAACTGCATGCGCCCCCAGCCCGGGCAACGCGCCGACGGGGGCAGCACCAGGTCTGGCCCACGCACGCGGGGGGGCCAGCCAAGCGCTGCGGGCGACCGCAGTCGACGGCAGCACGCCCCAAGCACGAGAGGGGGCCCTCCAGGCCGCGGGCGAGACATAGCGTCGGGACAGCTGCCAGGGACGACTTACGGTCGCACAGTTGGCGACGAGGGGGGGGAAGGCAGGGGGGGGAATGCAAACCGAAATAGAGAAGCACCCAGCCGCGGGCGCGCCTCCGCCGGGAGAGCTGCCAGCGACGACTAACGGTCGCACTGTCTGCGAAGGAGGGCAGGGGAGCAACGCTGAAAGATTAGCCGGGGGCAGGGGCAGAGCTGCAGTGACTAACGGTCACCATTACTTGAACGACGTCCTCGGGCGGGCGGTTCCTTGCCGTGGGAATTTAGTGCCACCTGGATCTCCTGTCATCCGAGTCGGCGTTGTCAATATTGTCCATGCCGCGCTCGCCTCCGTCGTGCAAGTCGCGGTATTGCCAGGATCGCCATCCTGTCTGCCAGGGCGACCCTCCTGCTGATCCCATGGTTGCTGATGGGAACTGGAGCTCCAGCCCTTTGACCGGTGGGAGCCCTTGCCAGTGGTGTTCCTGATGTGCCTCTCGCGGATGGCGCCCCAGTCGACGTTGGGCTCCAGCTTCTGGCCCATGGCGCAGGCGTCGTAGCCCGCCCTGCGCGAGGCGCCCAGGAAGTCCTCACAGGTCTGCACATGGTTCAAGTGGGGTTCGCTCTTGAGCTTCCCTTTGGGGCGCGAGAACTTCCGCGCGCAGCCGTGCCAGATCCCATTGAAAGCAACTCCCAACACTTTCTGGAACCGCACAATCACGTCAGCAGGCTGCCCCCCAGTCCGCCCCAGGTCGACATTGCACATGTGCTCACGGCGCATAGGTCCTCCCGATGCGGGGTCGCGGAGGTTGTCGAAGGCGCGCGAACTGCCGCCGCTAGGGGGGTCGAAGAGCGCCCGCGGTCGCCGCAGCCAGAAGGCGCTGCGCGCCTGTACGCGGCATTCGGGCTCTGTGCCGACCTGCCGCAGTGGCCCTGCTGCCTCCACGGCGGCAGCGTCTCTCGCCCGGGGCTGGCAGGCCAGGGGGCGCCCGTCTCAGGCGCTAGAGCCCCGAAAGCACCGAGGGGGGCGTCTGGCGAGCTGTCCTCTGGAGCCATATCCCTGTCGTCTTCGAGGGGGTCTCCGTGGGCGGGCGGCTGGTCATCGCGCTGCTTGGCGTCATCGTCAGCGTCAGCCTGCGCGCTCGGCGACGATGCCGCGGAGGCTTGTGACTCGTCGAAGTCAACAGAATCTCTTTCGGTGGGAGAGCCGATGTCGTCCTTTGGCGGCACGGAGGGGCCCGGCGGCGCTTGGTTTTGCGCAGCTGCACCGCTATGGGCTAGTCCATCGCGCCTGCCCCGAGGTGGTTCCACACCTGTAGACGAGCCGCCCTCGGAGCTGGCGGGCCCGGCAAGGGCGCCCTGCCCCGCGTGGTGTCCCGAGTGCAGCTCTCGTGGGGACTCGCTGGCCTCTGGCTTGAGGGGGAGCCAGGCCCCCGCTCTTCCGTCGGTTACAGATTCCAGGGCCATCTCGCTGCTGGCGATATCCACCCGGTCCTGGAGCGCGAATTTGACGAGGGTGGCCGCGGCGAAGGCGCTTTCGTCGAGGCTCCTCAGGAAGCCAACGAGAACTTCACGATCGCGCCGGAATGGGATGGGGCCTTTATCCCGCGCAATGGAGGAGTAATATTCCTGCCAGGTGTCCTTGTGGTGTGGGTTGCTGGTGGGATGCTCTACCACCCTGGCGGCTGCCCAGCGCTTACCGTCCCATTCGACGTGGGGTGGCTGGCCGTCTGCCGGCACATCCTGCGCTAGGAAGGCGACTAGGCTCGTAGAGATATTTCTTGTCAGCGGCAGCAGGCCAGCGCGCCAGCGGCGAGTCCAGTCAAAGCGGGGCGCGCAAAGACGAATTAAGCTAAAGCGGTGGGCCGGAGCCTCACACAGCACCTCAGCGGCCGAGCTGGCGAGTGGGAGAAGGCTGGCGGTAAACTGGGGGGCAGCACTGCCAGGGTGCACGCATGCAATGCGTCGGAAGCAGCGGGCGGCCAGGGTGACCGGCGGCCAGGGTCACCTGCGACTGCAGCAGCAGCACCGACGCAGGCCCCCGGACTACTATCAAGGTACCAGGGTGGTCGCAGTCAAGTGAACCGACTGACGTAGGTCGAATTGGGTGCCCAAACGGGGCGTGAGCATCAGCAGGCTGCAAAGTACCAGGGTGGCCGAAGCCAGGAGGTCCAACGCAGCAGAACGCACAAGTGCGAAGAGCAGCCGGAGCTGCAGCGCGGCCAAAATTTTGCGTTGTCACCACGAAAGAGGCCGTGGAAACAACTCGGGAACCCAAGCTGCGACCAGAGGCCGGCGGGTGCAAGAGGTGGCGCCAGCGAAGTCGCGCACCAGAAGCCCTGAACATGAAACGCGTGCACCACTCGTGGAGATACTTTTTCGGTCGCGGCCGCGCGACAACGGTCTGGCGGCGAGAGGCAAAGTCCGGGGCAGGCGGCACGATGCGAATTTGCGAACACTACTCGTGGAGATACGCAAAGCTTCAAGAATTAACCATTCTGACTCCAGCAGTGCTGCACAGCCTTGACGACCCATCGTGAGCAGCGGGTGCCAAAACATCACAGCACGATCTGCTCGTCAGCATGGGGCGTCCTGGAATTCCAAGGTGTCCGCCGACTGGCAGCGGCGCGCGCCTTTCCCCATGGTGGCGCGTGGACGCGCGTACGGGGGAACGCAGTCAGGAAGCCTGACCACCTCAAAGGTAGTTTCGTACATCTACGCGTGCACTTCTCGCAGGGGAAATCTTCGGCGCGGGCTGCTCATATTGCCTATCATGCCTACGCTGGCTGGTTGGGGCCACTTCGTTCATGCGCCTCGTGCCTGCCTGGCGGGAGCGGATGTTCCCCCTTCCTCACCTCTGTCCGCGGCTGGCTGCGCGCCGCTGGCGCAGTTTGGGGACGCCCCGTCGGGCCCCTGCTTCAGCCGACGCCCCGTCGAGAGCTTTCCAAAGGGCCTGGGGGGCGTTCCCCTGGCCAGGCAGCTCCCAGCTCCCAACCAAGCGCGCTCTCCCAGCTCGCAACCAAGCCTGCGGGGGATGCCGTTGCCCCCAGGCGAATGCGTCCGTCCAGCCTCATTAAGCAAAGCCGCACTCCAGCAGCTGTGCCGTCGGTGCGGGCTCGGCGATTCGTTGCCCACCCTGCCCTCGCATGCGCCGTGCGTCCAGCCAGCCATGGGGAAGCCTGGAACTCCCAGGTGTCCCTGGCCTGGCAACGCTGAGCGCCTTGGAACATCCCTTTTGCCCCCGATCAGGCAGCGCCACGCGCCTGGCCACAGTGTTGCGCATGGACGAACGCACGGAGGAATGCAGGGGGCCTGGTCTCCTCAAGACTTTCTGTTGCCTCCTCCTTCTCCCCCTCCTCCTCCTCCTCCTCCTCCTCCTCCTCCTCCTCCGCCACCTGCTCCCCTTGGTCACCGATCTCCTCATCATTGGAAGCGCGATTCTCCTCGCGCCTCCGCGCCGGCCCCTGGACAAGAACGGCTCTCGAGCCTGGTCCGCGAGGCGCGAGTATCTGCACACCGTGCAATCCTCACCCTCCTCACCCGCCCCTTCCGCGCAGCGAGCGCCTCCCCCGCAGCTTCTCAGCACCAAGCACGTGCTCACGTGCGCTTGCCGCCAGAAAACAATCCGAGACCACGGCGAAAGCGGGGCGACAGACAGCGACGACGATCACAAGCGAGGCGACGGCGATGACGGCGAACGACGAGGACGAGCCACGGCGACGACAACGACGACAACGACGACGACGACGACGACGACGACGACGACGACGACGACGACGAGCCACGACGACGACGACGACGACGACAGCGACGAGCCGCAAGCCCCAGCACCTCGCCCCGAAGCTTCACCAGCCGCAGCCCCGTCTCGACGTCCAGCGCGCCAGCCACCGTCAACGCCACGTACTCCCCGAGCGAGAGCCCAGCCACGCACTGGGCCGACCGGACCACGTCGGGCCTCTGCGGGGGTCGTCGCTGTCAGCAGCGGGTCGCCGTCGCGGTCGCCTTCGTGGTCCGTCGTCGTGATCGTCGCCGCCGTCTTTGCCGCCGTCGTCGTCGACATCCTCGGAGCGAGAATCTGGGGGATCTGGGTTGTGGGGCGTGGATTGGTCCAGGTCCGAATATCTGGGCTAAGCCAGAAGAGGATGGGGGAAAGGCAGGAAGGGGGGATCAAGGAGGATAAGGATGGACTCAGAAAGCAGGAGAGGAAAGAGGGAACGCATGAAACTGACTGAAAATGTTTCCTTCAACTTCGCGTAGGCAAACGTATTCCGGGAACCACCGCTTTCAGTCGAGAGTTTCGCGAAGACCTGACCAAATCCCGAGTCTGTTCTGAATCAGAATCGGATGGGATCTGTTATCTCAAGATAGCTAGTGAAAAGTTCTCGCCAAAACGTAGTCTCAGGGTCTTCTGGTTCCACCGCCAGGCAGCGGCAGCGATGGCGAGAAAGTTGCAGTGACGAAATGCGGGAATTGAAGTCACCCGAAAACAATCAACATAATTCTCAGCCACCCCCGCTGCCGCCAGGCAGCTAAGACGCCAGTCGCTAACGCAGAGTCGCATGCGCTCGGCCACTCCTCTGGGAGCCCCCAGCCTGGAGCAAAACCGTGCAGGTCGGCGCAACCGCAGCGCTGGCGTGAGGCTGCGCCAACGCCGCACGAGCTGCAACTGCCAAGAACTAGCCGGCAGGCGCGTCACGCAACGCGCCGCCCGGGCTGCTTTCCCATTAAATTCAAATCCATCCGCGTCACGCGACACGGTCGCGCGGTCGCGTGGGCTGTCGCGCCATCGACGGGCACGCGCGCCGCGCGACGCTGGCAGCTAAGCGCGGGCGTTCAACTGGCGACGGCCGCGGCAGCGCAACTCATCGCCGGCGCTTGCCAGACGCACGATGCCAGGCGCAACAACGGACATAGAAGGCGCTAACCTGCCCGCTGGCAGGCACGCTATCGACTGAGAGGCCCAGCAGACGGCATGCTGGCAGGCGGAGCTTCAATGACCGCCGCGCAGCAGGGCCACCAGTCGGCGGCACGCTGTTCGGCAACGCGCAAGGACTGCGTCGTTCAACACAGTCACAAGACTACATAAGGCCGCCGAGCGAACTGAGCAGGCCTCAGCCACACGGCGCCGCCTTCCGCCACTCGCCTAAGAAGCGAAGTGGAGGCGTGGCAGAAACGGCCCAGCTGGCTCCTAACGAAACAGAAAAGCACTGCCGCGCGTCTGCGCGTTGCCACAGCTGCCTCGGACAGCTCCCAAGTTTTGTCGGCCTGACAGCAGCGCCCAAACTCACGAACGCCAGCCCGCCACGGGAACTGAGCGCGCGTTGGCCGCGCGGCGCCGACGCCCACCGCCCAGCGCAAGACGCGAAGCCGAGGCGGGGCAGCCACGCCCAAACTGGTTCCACACAAACCAGACGGACGAGCGAAGCACTGCTGCACATCCGCGCATTTCTTAGACTCCTGCGACCTTCGTTCGGAAGCCGAAACTACGTACTTAGTGATCAGCCCGTGACACCGCACGGCCCACATTGCCCCACTTCACTCCCCCTCCCTGGGCCGTCCGAGGCACCAGCTCCACTCACCCGTGGTCAAATTTAAAGAAGCGCATCAGCGCGCCCCTCGACGCCGCCACGAGTTCCAAGATGCGAAGATGCGAGGGTCCCTGCAATCGTCGAGAAGGAGATCGACTTCGGAGTTGATTGCCTCAAAATTGTTGCATACTATCTACGAGCAATGCGTAGAATCTCCGATGATCTACGATGATTATACGCATTTGTTCGTAGGTTCGATGAAAAATGTGGCTAATCAAGTCTGTAATCGATCTCCTACTCGAAATCGGCAGGTCCAGCCTAAGCGCAAGCACTGCACGCGTCGGCGCCGCGCGCGCCGAGGGGCACCAGCCCGTCATTTGCTGGCAGGGGCCCAAGTGGGAGCGTCGGCGTTCGCCCGCACACGCGGCGAACCTCGGCCAGCGAAGCGCTCGGGATAATCCCACCAACCCTCTGGGCGTAGTTTCGGGGATTGCTAAAGGTGCACTTGGCCAAATCTGCCCCCAGCTTCGCGTTCCATTTTGGAGCCTCGGGGGCCCTCTGGGCCTCGTGAGGTGTGCTCTGGAAGCCGCGGGGGGGCCTCCTTGGAACCGGGGGGGGACACCTTGGGCCAAGGGCACTTCTAGCAACGCCCGATAGGTGATCAAACGAAGCCATTCTTTCCTCTTCCACAACCCCCTTCTTCCCCTTCGGGAGGGGGACCCCCGCCCCTATCCAAGGGCCTGGAAGGGAGGAGGGCGCAGGTGTCAGATGATCCTTTTTGGCCCAAGATGGCTCCAAGAAGGCATCCGATGCTCCAATATGGCGTCCAAGATGGCTCAAGATAGCCGAGGACTGTTCAAGGTATCTTCCACCATGCTTCCAAGAGGCCCCAAGACGGCCACAAGATGGCTCCAAGTGCTCTCAGGGCCAAGGTTCCCCCCAGATTCGCCAAGGTGAGTTTGCTCGTCGATGACTTCATCAATATGCCGCTGCTTTCTGGCTTGCCATCAGTTGTACACAGATACCATGCTAAATTCTTGACGTATTCGACACGTTCTTAGCATCTCTCTTCGAGCCAGCAATTCGTGTCGCTGTAAAACCGGCTCTCGATCAACGGTTGAGCGTTCGTGGGGCGAAGAAAAAATTCTCCTCCGAATTCACCAGTCTGTTGTAAAGGGGGATGCGGAGGCCATCCGTAAATGTAATCGGTCTCCCTTGCACATATATATATATATATATATATTGGATCCATTCCAGAGGGGAGGTCATAGGGCTAATCGTTTGATTGTTTTTGTTGCCACCCCCAGGACGCTGATCCACCTCTTCTCGTTATTGCATCTGTCCCGAATGTCCTTTTTCCCTGGTTCCTTTTTCTCCTTACTGCCCGGGGGGGGGCCTTTCGTGGCCGGCCTTAACATTGGCTTTATTCTGAGACTCAACCACGGCGGCATTCAGGTCAACGTTAAACGTTTGGGCCTTCATCCTGGAAGAAGGAAAAAGGCCGGTCAGCCGCCCCAACGATTCAACCTGGAGGCGGCGCTGGCAACTCCAGTCGGCGGTGTTCAAGCCACATTGTCTCAATGTTGCCCCACATCTCATCATCAACTGGACATGGGCCCAAAATCAGCATCGGACGCCGTCTCTTCTGGAGGGATGAATGGGATAACCCTTGGGCCGACGCGCAGCAGAAAATCTAATCATTTCAGTTCCGCAAATCTGGGTTCGTCATCCTCTATGAACTCCGCCTTTATGAACTCCGCAAACTCTGATGAGACTCTGGAAAGATTGACACCAGGAAGACGAGGGAACTCCCGTACAACCAGTGGGTTTGCAGAAGATTTGGAACGGACGCTCGCGACGGGAACCATGCCCGCATCCACATTCCATTTCGTCAAATGAGGCGGACAATCGATCCATATCGCTCCGGCATTTGTGATATTGTCGGGTCGTCCACCCCCGACGGCTGAGCCACCGTAGGGCTAGCCGTAAAAAACAACGCCGCATGTCCACTGGTCCGCGCGCCTTACTCTGCAAACATGATGAGTGTTCCTAGATTGTTTCCTCCTTCGCTGAAATATGATGGATTAAGATTCAGGAAACAGTGATTATCTTCCGGAGAATGCTTCAGTGATCGAAACATCACGGCCCCGTCCAGAGCGACGATCTTTGAGCAGACATTCGACGCCCTATACTGTACGATGCGCTCGTTCATTTCAACCCGATCCAAAATTGCAATATGTTGTCCACCTACTCCCAATATTCAGGCCACCAGTTCCCAAGACCCAAGAACCATCGTCTCCTTGAACGCGGATGACGCGCATTGCGTTGGCGGGGATGCTGCGCGGAATAACACAATCCACAACAGCGATAAGCTCCGGTAAGACTCCAGTTGTTAAGCGGGCGAGAACCCCCGCGCTTCTCCTCGGGGCACCCGCAAGCAACTTGGCGCCGCCATCAGACAAATCGCTGAGGTTCCAAAAGATGCGAACAAAGGGAAAAAAATAGCATGCTCATCGCAAAACTCAAAAGCTTTCTTTTCAAGGGACTGCGTTCTGAAGCTGACTCTAGATTCCAATAGCTGTCGCTGCGGCAACGGTTCCCTGCAGACAACCATGCGCCATCTCCCCATGGGGTTCGCTTACCTTGTCGTTGGTGCTCGATTGAGAACCATGGGTCTTCAATTTGAAGGGCGAAGTTGCGAAATCCCCATCGACGGTGGGAACAATGTTTCACTGAGGGTACGCGTTGCCATGTTTCGTCCTGCGCGGCCATCGCAGCGCCGGCCGGAAAAAATCCATCGGCGGCCCCCCGAAGAAACCATCGTATTAGATGTCCCCATCCAGCAACCGGCACTCATCCATGCGCTGTCATTCCAGCCGATGCAACGATGGCTTCACATGCCTTGGCAAAGGACAGAGTTGGGAGCGATTGGCAACGGACGGGTTCGCCGATGACACGTACAACTTTAGGAAATCGTCCACGAGCTAATCACGCCCTATCGCAGGCGCGAAAGCTGCGCTGGCGACCTCGCTGTCTCCCACTTCACGCATGGCAGATCCACCCAAGGTCTGCATCAACAGCGCGACTTTCCACGGACCGCGTGAATGCACGTGGGATCAGGACCCCTTGCAATGAACGAGATCCTCGCGATCGCTTCCGCCGACCCGGGCAAGGGGGCCTGCCCGCCGCCGCCGCCGCCCCGAAACTTGGGCGTGGCAATGGCGCAAATCTTTGGTCCAAAATACTGGGTGGTGATCCGTTTCGCCCCCATGTCCGCCGCTGCATTCTGCGCGAGCCGGCACTGTTAGCCCGCGACGCCGCGACTGAGCAGTTCAGAGACAGCGGCGGCATCAATGCTGCGGGCGCGAGGGGGGTGCATCAATTTCTGCGACCCCCCCGCTGCATTGACATTACACGCTCCCTGGTC